TCTGCTATAAACATTCTCATAAAAAATTTTGTGTAGATGCATTTTCAATTATCCTGGGTATATATGAGTATACTTAGGAGTGGAATTGGATGTTATGCATCTCTTCATATCCAAATCTATTGTTTCTGAGTTCAGACAGCCTGGCATTTTTCTCAGTGCAAACAGCTCTATACTGACCTTGCCATCCTTCACTCAAACACCTGTAGTCTTCAGAATCTACACACATTAATTACAACTTCTTCCAATTTATTTGAGAGCAGGGATCAGTTCTCATGGTTCAGGTCATAGAATACATGTTTAATATATGCTCACGAACATAATGACACCCTGAGATACCTACAAATGAGAAAGCAATGATTTATTCACTATTTCATTTGATAGGTATTTGAGTATTTATTTCATGCTGGTCACTGTGCTTCGTATCTGGCGTAAATAGTGGACAAAACGTTAATTAGTTTCAACTTATCCCAAGTTCCAGTTCTACTCCACAAACACTTACTGAATACTTAGGATTTGAATGGCATTGTGCCAGGTATGACATGAGACACAGAAAAGAGATGTAGTCTGAAGTTTTTTATGGCAGTACATAAACTCTACACAATAACAATGACAAAAACAACAACGGCAGCAGCACCAGATATTAAGTATCGTAACAAAAGCACACAGTGCAGAGTCAACAAACAGAGCCTATATAGTTGACAGAGTGGAAAGAGAAGACAGACATTAGGAAATACTTCTTGAAATTGAAGGTGGTACTTGAGATAGGGCCTTCTTCTTTGAAGAAGGATGCATTTTGATAGGGATTTTTGGGAAAAGAGAAAATATTTTAGGCAGAGGATAGCATGAACAAAGACAGAAAGGCTGAATACAGTATAGAATTTATGTTTTCCTCAAAAACCAATTCAGTTAAGAATGTATAAATAGATAACGAGACATATGGTCATACTGTGAAGGACCCTGAATATTAGGCTTAGCATTTAAATAGGTTTAGAAGAATGGCTGGAATGTCTGCCTATAACAATTCAAATTACTCCAGTGACTCCTTAACCTCTTCTTAAAACTTTTCTATTATGTATATTTTCTAAAGGGATCACTGAAATTAATGATATTGCCTTCCCACAAGGAACTAAAAATAAAATCTTGACAGCTAAGTGAGCATGTTGTTAGGGGAAGATGGAATTTCAATAATCTTAGTACTGTACCCCATTCCTCTGGAAAAATGCAAGGTTTAAAACAGACATGTAGGCATATCTTAATAGCCAGAGTAGCAGAAGCAAGACTGAGGGGAAAATAATAGATTTCATTAAGCTCCCAATACCAGGTATTGTATTGGGTGATAGGTGCTAGGTGATATAATATCCTTGATCCACCAAACAAGCCCATTTAGGTTTATGGCAACTGAGGCTCAGATAGGTCAAGTAAATTGTTCAAAGTTGTCAAGCTAGCTAGTAAAATGTCAACACCAGTTTGGTACCTAGGTGTGCTGGATTCCTTAATTTCCCCATTGTTCACTTTCACTTTTTACTGTACCAAGGATTCTATTATGGTAGGACTACCATGCATGTGTCAATGAAAAGGGTTGAATATTTAACACATGGGCTTGTATAGTCTGGAGAAAAATTAGGCTGAAATACTCAAAAGTGGATTCAGAATGGCTTAAAGATCAAGACCAAGAGAGATCAAGGTTAGGGCTGCTTCCTGATCCAATTTGAACAATGATCATACTACAAATATTACTTGAGACTACCAAGGGAGCAAAATTCTGGTTTTAATTTGGAAATCAGAGTAAACTTCAAGAGAGTCTGGATATTTGTTTGTACTCACTGATGCATTCCAAGTCACTAGAACAGTAACTAGCACTCGGAATGCAGTCAATAAACTTCTGCTGAAATAATGAACAGTTATGTAAGGGGGATATTCTCATCTGAATACTCTTGAAGGCCTTGAAATAGAGATAAAGACAGCAGAGAAGTAAATTTAAAAGCCATTCAAGTTGTTAGGATACTCTAACACTTGACCTCATGGCAAAAACTACTAAAACAACAAAAAAGCAATAGTTGTAAACATCAGCATGACTTTAAAAGAACAGTAGACAGAAGAATGAAAAGACACTTTTGCATTATATATGGTATCTAGCACTCTGTGGTTAATCAAATTCCAGTGAGATGGAATCCAGAATTTTAACTTACTGTTTTAGTATTTCATACTGCTCTGAGCAGTGTATCCAATTGACTGCTTTTAGAAGAGAAAATGGCTATCTAATCTAAATACTCTATAAAATAGACAAGGTCTCTATTATAGATGGCAAATAATGGAATGAAATATCTCAAATTCATTAATTCAGAGATAACAAAACTACACTTACAAAAGCATTTTTCTAATTTTGATAGTATGTTTCCATTATTGGGTTGGCCAAAAATTTTGTTTAGTTCTTTCCCTATCATGGCTCTAGTAGTGCTCAGCTGCCTTTAACTTCATTTGAAACAATTTTGTTAGATTGTATTATGACAGGTGTCATATCAGCATGTGCTAAAAAAAAAAAAAAGATTAAAATTGGTGAATTTTTGTGCAGCCATTATAATATTGAAGATGGAAGAAGATATGCAACATGTTCAACGTGTATCAAGCTTTACTATTTGAAGAAAGGTAAAAATGCAATGGAAATGCAAAAAAAAAAAAGATTTGTAAAGTGTATGGAGAAGGTGCTGTGACTGATCAAATGTGTCAAAAGTGGTGTGCGAAGTTTCTTGGTACTATTGACATTTTGGCCAGATAATTCTTTGCTCTGTGGTTGTCCGATGAGTTGGAAGATGTGGCATCTCTGGCCTCTACCTACTAGAAGCCAATAGCAGGAGATAGTCGCCATATTCAAAATATCCAAATCAATAAAGTTATTCGTGAAGATGAAAAATGTGTCTTTTATTTTATGCTAAAAACTAAATGAACTTTTTGGTCAACCCAGCGGAACATGCAAAGAAAACTACAACAAAGAGCATTAAGAAAAAAAAAAGAAAGCCTTTGGAAGATAGCAAGCCTCTTTGCAGAAACACTTTGAGTAAAAAGTAGGTTCCATGCACTTTTCTTCAATTTTTCAAAAGCTTTTCTAATTTTTTTTTGATGAAAACAATGAATAACTGCCACTTATTACAAACTATCTTCTCTCAGATACGTGCTTTACATATTGCTTTCTTCTGAACAGACAGTTCTTCAAGCTGCTCTAGCCTTTCAGTTGCAGCAATTTTTATTTCTTTTATACTGCATTTCTTCCATGGAAGAGCATAGAAACCAATTAAAAAAAAACTCCTCTGTTTTCTAAAGACAGTTTCCAAAGGTAATACCAATATATCTCAATCAGTATCTTAATTATCTTTTTCATTTAACACCAATCTTTACTTCAATAATTCTTAATACTATAGTTTAATTTGTCAGAATGATTGTATCATTTTTTTTCTTCTCTATTACACTATTAGAGAAGAAAGTGAACACATTTTCTGTAATCCATTGATATTTGCTTGAGGTGGCCTACATATCCCTAACCTTATAACAGACATTATTTTGTCTTGCATTTTCAATTACTGGAGAAATTTTGTAGTGTTTAAAAAGAATAACATTGATTTTATCATCTGAGATATTTTATGTCTTCAGAAGGTTAAAACATGTATTTTTCTCTTTACTGTAACATTTAGTTTAAAACATATTTTCTAATAAACTCTAAACCAAATAACTTTTTAAAGGAACTAGAATTAAAATAATTGCAAAGTCTGAGGACAGATTAGGTAACAATCCAAAAGGAAAAAATACACAGGCTTTATCCTTTTAAAAATCTTTGAAAGACATTACAGTTCACTTGATATTCTAAAATTACTAACGTTTAGATTTCCTAAGCTCTAAACTGCTTGATGCTTCAGTACACGCCTGCTCACCCCAGCACTGTGGTACTTAAAAACAGAAGCCAAGGTATCAAAATTGTTGATTGTTTTTACCACTTTACATATCGTTTCTTATCAAACACTGAGAATATAGGAAGAATAGAAAGTTCTGATTCATCTTCTGTCCTTTGTGAGCCAATCCCCGCCCCCTTTAAAATCTGAGCTGAAGCTATTGATCCTTGCACCATGCTTTAAAGCCGCAAAGAACAGATACCATTTTTGAATCTATCTGAATTTAATTAAGTTACAAAGAGGAAAACGTACTAAAGTGTAACTTTCACAAATGCTACATGTTACCTTAAGAATTTTTAAGACTGAGGAAGTTTGTTCTCAGGCACAGGGCAGAACTTGGAGCATAAAATCAACAGGTCTAAGAATTTAAGATAGTCAATCTTATTAGTTAAGGTAACATGCATCTGAGTACTTCTATATAGTACTTTCATTCTGGTAAGGTGAATATGCCTCATAATTCATGTAAAACAATGAGTAATGTAATAAAATCATGACTACAGAGTTTCTGTAGCATGTCAAGTCAAAGACACATCTCATTCGGTGGATCGTGTGAGGAGCAGAGGTGGGCAATCATAAGTCACACAAGAAAGTGTGTCATCTTGCAGAGAATTTTAACAAGGGGTTTAGAATTCTTGAAGAACGCCATTAAGAAACTGTCGAGAATATATTCCACCATGCACGTTGAAAACAAACCTCACATAAATTATGACTGGAGGATGAACATAAGCACCACGGATCAATGTACTCACCAAACTTTTCACATAAAACATAACCCCAAATCTTTAAAACATGGTCTGTGCAAACAGCGCCAAGCATCCCCTTTTCAAGCCTTAATAGGCACAGGAAGTGGGTAGAACACCCTAAACCACCATACTACTCCAACAGGAAGTGAGTTATGTTCCCCCTCCCTGAGAACTGCCCCCTCCCCTCCCCCAGCCGGAAGTAAGGCGCCTCCATTCAGTCCGCCTCAAACCGAGGCAAACCAATTAACAACTTAATTAAAAGAGGCAGAAGGACACTTCCACTGTGACCACCCCCAAGGTCGTCTTGCTTACTGACCTGCTGACGACAGAGGCAGGCTGGGGCCTGGGGCTAAAGAAAGTCCCCTGCACAAAGGACAATTCTCTGAGCCCCTCTCGATCGCATTCACTCTTACTCGGCGTCTCACAGCTTGAGAAAAATTCCTCCGCAGTACTTTATTTGTATGCACTTTTTTTCCGTTTACGTAATCGTTTAACTACCTTCTCATAGGCAACTTGTGTTATCGCAATAACACTTAAGTTTCTTTCGGTGAGGCGAAAAATGAAATATTATGCCCGAAACCTTAAGTAAAGTGAAGGGATTATTTTGTTCAAAAGCGGAGAAGACCTACGTAGTTACGCAATCGAAGGGGACTTTCGCGGAGGTTTCTGGGAGATGTAGTGTTTTTTTTTTTTTTTTTTTTTTAATCGGTAAGGCCTGTAAGAAGTACTGCGACTTAAAATGGCAATTACTGTATACCGGCGTCCTTGAATACACAAATTCTGTAGTCGACGGCAGACTGACCGAGGGGCTCGGGCACAAAATAGGCCAATAACTTATTTCCCTTTTCTTCAGGACCTTATTTGAACCGAAATTTCCCTTCACACTAGTTCTAGTCGTCTTGCCCTCCTGAGTCAATTGAGAGCCCTCGAAGCCCTGGCGGGGTAGGAACGCGAGAGAGGCACGATGACTGCTTCTGCCAGACTGAGTGTGAAAGGTAGGGTGCCCAGGGCCCGTGCACACTCGTGCTCGTTTCTCCAGGAGCTAGGCGGCGAGTGCGCGCGAATGGGCGGGGCTGTAAGGAGACCGGCTGGCGCAGGGAGGCTGGCTGTGGGCGGCCGGGAGCGCGCGGTGGACTCGGCGGGGACGAGTAGCTATTCCCTAGTAAGTGTCAGTTGCTCGGCGGCCGTGGCCGCGGTGATAGGGAAGGGGACGGGATGGTCGGCGATGGTGGTCACCGCGGCTCCGTGTGCGCCCTTCAGGTAACGGTGGTAGGGCTACCGCGTCCCCTTCATTCCCTTCTGTCGCAGCGGCTTGTGGGAATAGGATAGCCGGGGGCTGAGCGCGCTGAGTTGGGGGAATCGGGGCGGGGCGGGGCGGCGCGGCGCGGCGTCTGGCTAGCGCCGCCGCGGGGGCTTGGGCGGGCCGCTGGTAAGGTGCGGGCTCTTCGGCCCCGGGGGCCCGCCAGCACCGCGCGACCCCTCGCGCTCCCTGTGGTCGTGGCTCCCTCTTCCTCCTCCTCCTCCTCCCGAGGCGTCAGCGGCCCCGGTAACTCGGCGCCCCACAGAGGAGGGAAAGTTGGGATATGGCGCCGAGGTACGCCCCCGGGTGCGGCCGGGAGGCTGCTGGGGAAAGTTAAGGCTGAGGGAGCTGGACGCGGGGGAGGCTGGGCAGGGAGGGCTTCTTTCGCTCCTCTAAGTCTACACTGACATGCTGGTCCAAACCCGGGAGAACCCAACGCAGCCTCTCCAGCAGCACCGCGACGAAATCCCGTAGCTCTTTGACTGTTCACTTAGGACTGCGGCTTCTGAGGCCCCTTCCGTGCGGGTTTGCGCGGTTCTTTGGAGATTTTGAGTGGTTCGGTCGGTCAGTTTGTTTCTTCTTTGCCCTTTGACTTACTCGTTCTTGCAACTTTTCTTACCTCCCGCATTGAGGACTTGCGGTCTGAACCCCCTACACTACCCCCTCCCCGTCGCCTGCACCACCAGTCTGAGAGCTTGATTTAGTTTTTTGTGGTTTGATGACGTTAAAGATTGTTGAGAACATCAAGAAAGAGGAGCCTTCCCACTTTTACTTGCTACTTTCTTGCAATCCGTTATTTTTGAGATCCAAGTGTAGGAATTTGAGAGCTGTGGAATGGAGTTATTGGAAGGCTGGCGTTGAGTTAAAGGAAAATTAGATTTCATCTTTATTGACCTTGCTATAGAAAGAAAACCCAATACATTTTTCTCCTGCTAAATTGTTAAATGTGGGAGAGTATACGTTGAATTAAATCTTTGGAGACCTACAGAAAAGGCTGTTTTTTAGGTTATTGGATGATGTATATCAATAGCTTCTTACCTAAATTAGGATTGCCTTGAGGATTCTGTTTGGGGCCTGTTACTGATTTTGGTTTAGCCACAACGTCTTTTTTCCTGATAAATGTCGGCGAACCCTTATATTGCTCTCTACAGTGTGGTAGTGAAAAACGTGAATTCTCCACAGAGTAAAACTTCCCATGAGCAATCTTGGATACCCGCTTCATGATGGCTTCTCCTGTAATCTCAGAGCATATCTAGATAGCTCAATTCACTGACTACCCTAATTACTTTCTGAAGTGCCTGGCATGCTGTGGTGACATGTCTAGTAACTATGGTGGCAGGTATGCTACATTTTCTTGGCTTCGTATATGGAGTTGTAGTCTTAGCCCAGAAAGTAACACTTAACAACGGAAGCAGAATTCATACAATACCATTACTGGTTAGTTTTGGCTATGACCAATGCATAAGCTATGTGAAAGACAAACATCTTTCCATAGCTGTCAGAGGGAAAGAGGAGGGACTATCTTATCATGTCTTTATTTTGGAGACTAACATGACTATATTAGGTGGGAAAAAATGTCATATTATTTTCTTGAAGGCTTTTTCATGTGTGGCCTTCCTGTACATGCCCTACCCCTTGTTTTAAGGATTGACATTTATCTTTGGCTGGGTTCCAGGATGGTAAGAAAAGTGTTTTGATGAAAGGAAAAGTTAAGATAGCTTTGACCTATTATGAATACTACAACTATTCCTTTTATCCAGTGATAGTACAGAGAAACTTCCTTGATAATTTTTGTACCTCATTAACATTCTGTTAGAATTCATTGTTATCAGTCTACCCTGAGGACAGTAAAGAAATAATGCCACTTCATAGCAGTTCCTAACAATCAGATTAAAAAGTTGTTCCTGGAATGTTTTATATAAACATTTATCTTTGTACATTTATAGCGATGTAAATATTTAAATTTGAGAGCTTAAAAACTTTTATTTGCTTATTTGCATACATGATTTTTAATATCAAGCAGTGCCAACCACATTTGCCAAATAAGCATCAGTCATAAATTCATGCTCTGGCACTTTTCATATGTAATTCTCCTAAATTGCTCCATGGAGAAGCATCATGAAAGTGGCATTTTTTCATGAGAGACTTATTGTTTTTAACTGTAATGATGTGCTGTTTCAGTGAAACAGGTGCTGGGCTCTAGCTGTTTGTGTCAAAACCTACCAAATCGTACTCTTGTTGGATGGATTAAGTGATTTAGGAACCAGACTGTGGCCCCTGGCACGCCAAGTATGAGTTCATGGCTCCTTTTCACTGCCGCCAAGTCCTTATTTTCACTGTAAGGGATGTGTGTGATTAGCTTTAGTTTCTCACTGCTGTTCTCTACTGTAATTCCTACTGCCCCCTACCACTCCAGTCCTTTCCTTACTAGAGAGCCTCTGAGAAAGTCTAGGCTCTTTCATTGGTTTGTTTTCCTTGGAGAAATTCTAGTAACTTTCAGGCTAGGAATAGATAGTTCACATTTGTTTGACAAGTATCTTGAGTGCCTTTTAAGTGGTAGACAGGGTGGTAGGCCCTGAGTATGATATCCCTTTTTGCAAGGAGCTATAGTTTAGGAGAAGGTAGCTGACAACCTATAATTACAGTGTGGTGTGTTGTGTAACAGAGGGATAGCAGAAGCTTAAGGATGGAAGCAGAGAGCAGGAGGGGTAATTGATCAAGACTTGGGGTCTTGGGGTCAGGAGATGTCCTGAAATACATTTTACTGGGTTATGTGTGTTACTCTTCAAAAATAGGTAGGAGTTACTTAGATTCAGAAGAAGAAAAGACATTTCTGAGCAGTGCTGTCCCGTAAAAATACGAGTCAAATGTTAAGTCATATATGTATTTAAAACTTTTTTTTCAGTAACCACATTATAAAAGTAAAAAGTGAGATTAATCTTACTAATATATTTTATTTAACTGGATATATCCAAAATATTATCAATATATAACCAATGTAAGAAAGTATTATTGAGATATTTGGTATTTGCTTTTTAATCCTAAATCCTTAGAATCTAGTATGTATTTACATTTATACCATGTCTCAGTTTGGATTAGTCAAATTCAAGTACTAGGTGCTCAATAGCCACAGGTATACAGCATAGTTTTAGAACAAGGGTTGAAGAAGTATTAAGAAACCAATTCATAGATGCCTTATGAACTGAGCTAAGGAGCTTAACTTTATCTTGAAGGCTGTGAAATTTAGTGGGGAAAAATTATGCTGTGATAGTCATATTTGTGTTTTAGACCTGTCATATTGGCTGTGAAGTGAATGCTGGATTAGAGAAGGGCCAAGCTTGAAACAAGACCGGTTAGGAAGCCATTCATGGTGAGAAATGATGACTGATGTAGAAGGGCTACATGTATAAGAGATTTAGGAAGTATTATCAGCAGGACAGGGTAAATAATCAGATTATGGAGTTGAACAAGATTGAAGATTTAGGATGATTTCCACATTTCTCTTGTGAGCTACTGAATGGGGCAAGCCACTGAAGAGAAGCCAACCATTTGAGCCAGGTAGAGCAAAGATGAAAAAAAGGAACTATGAGAGATTTGGCACAGAAACTGGGGGAGAGTATTTCAAGGACTAGTATCCTGCCATGAAAAGGCAAAGTAAGATAAAGTCCGAATAAAGTTGCTGAGACATGATTAATATGTCATTTGAAGGGGTTGAAGAATGACTAATAAGCTAGAAGTGTAGCTAATAGAGAGGGATTCCGCGTATTTAACAAAACACTGAAGAGAGAGTATTGGTAGAGGGAGGAGATGAAGGAGATTTAGAGAAGTTCACTCCCTTCCCCCCTTTTTAAATTAAGAGAGTTTAGGGCATATTTATGTGGGATTGGAAAGAACCAATGGAGGGGAGAAATTGGACAGTGGGAGATGAGAGAGGGGGAGGGGAAAAGAGGTGATTGAAGGAGCTGAGGATTTGGAGGCAATAGGAGGGGATGGGATCCAAAGCATTGGTAGGGAAATTGGCCTTGGGTAGGAGGTAGTTTTTCAGTGAGCAGAAAGGAAGGAGGTGAAGTTGGAGGCAGGGTAAGTAAGCTTGTAACTGACAGGGAGAGGAAGAAGAATGAGTTGATGACATGTCTTCTATCATTTTTGAGTATCTACTAAGAGTAAAAGGGAACATGGTTGAATAGGGAGTTGTAAGAGTATGAATTTATGACAGCTTTCAGGGGAATGGGGTGGGAGAGAGGTATGGGTGCCAGACACACAGACTCATGGCTAGGAAAATAAAAAAGGATTATTAGGCAGTATTGAGGATCCATTTGAAGTTATAGACCTTGGATTTGTAGGGGTTCCAATTTGCATGGTTTGATTTTCCTCTGGCAGTGATAACCCTGGGTGTAACTGAAGAAACTTACAGGAATTCCTCAGGTAGGTACTTGATTATAAGATGAACAACTCGGGCTCAAACACTGGTGCTTCATTCAGTTCCAGGGCCCAGGCTGTTATCCATCGCTTTGCAGATTCCTGCTTGGTAGAGGTGTCTGAAGAACAGTTGGTTAAGGGAATTAATGATATTCAAGATCATGCCTGATATGAAGAACTGTAGAGTCCAGCTGGATCATGAGCGGGAAGCCTGGCAAGGGTGATTCAGTTGGAAGAAAATGAAGGTCATGAAAGGCTAGAAGCTAGTGTGAAGCTGAAGAGCCTGCCTGTGAGGAGGGAGCAATAATAATAGCTTTTATTTATGGAGTACTAATGTATGCTACATACTTTTCTACCTTCTTTCTACAGGGTTATTAATCTTATACATTTTCCTTCTTCGTTCTCCTTTAAATGAAGAAACTGCGGATTAGAGAGGTTAAATAACATGTCTAGAGACAAACAATATTACGTGATGGAGTCAGGATCCAAAACCCATTCTTTCTTCTCCAAACCATATTTTTCTTAAGGAGATACAGAGAAAAATGTATTGGGTTAGCCAAAAAGTCCATTTAGTTTTTACCATAAAATAAAAGACACATTTTTCATTTTCACCAATAACTTTATTGATTTGGGTATTTTTAGTATGTTGACTATCTCCTGCTATTGGTTTCTATTGGCTGGGTGGAGGCCACCGGTGCTGCTAAACATCTTCCAATGCATCAGATAACCCCGCTGCAAAAACTTATGTGGCCAAAATGTCAGTAGTTCCAGGAAACTTTGCAAACCACTTTTGACACATTTGATCAGTCACAGTACCTTCTCCATACACTACACAAATCTTTTATTGCATTTTACCTTTAGTTGCGTTTTTACCTTTCTTGAAATAATAAAGCATGAAAATGTTGCATATCTTCTTCTACCTTCAATATTAAAATGGCTTATAAAACTTATTAACAATTTTGCTAAGTTTTTTTTAAATGCATGCTGGTATGCCAGCTATCATAATATAATCTAACAATTGTTTCAAATGAAGTTGAAACAATTTCAACTGGAGCCACTGGAGCTGAGCGCTACTGGAGCCATGGTAGAGAAAAAAACTAAACGAACTTTTTGGTTAACCCAATAGTTATGATGAAAGTGGTAGAAAGACACCAGGATCTTTCATTTAGGCTTTCATAGGTGTATCATTAATTTAACAAATGTTTGCTGAACATTAAGTATGTGCAAGTTATTGTTCTAGGTGCAGAGGTTACAGTCGTGAATCAAATACAAATATCGCTGCCCTCATAGATCTTACATTCTACAAAGGGCAAGGCAGACATTAAACAAAATAAGAAAGTGTGTACCCTGAAAAAGAAGACACTGACTAATAAGTGCTTCTGGTGGTTAACTGGGCTCAAGTTAAAAACAAACAATACCCACCTCGTCCCCCTAAAAAAAGCAAAAACAAAAACAAAACAGATCCTAGTAACCATTTCTACACAGGGGCCTCATACAAACTGCACTTCTGGGAGAAGCCTGTCTTGCGATAGCTGCCTGCACTGTTTCTGCCATCTGAGTCAGTCCTTATAAGAGTTCATGAAATCCTATTTCAACCAATGGGACTGAGGCTTTCTCTATCCAATCAGATCTGCACAGTCCTGAGGAACCAGAGCAGCTTTATTCTCACCGGTCAGAACAGTTCCTATTGGACCAATCAAACCGTGACTATTTGGAGTACTCATTTGGATGAGGACGGGCCAATCAGGGAACGGATTTGGGGACTTCTGTTTGTATAAGCCAGTTCCCCTGGCTGAGAGTACACATTCCCTTTCCACCCAAGTCTGAAGACTGCATCTCCCTGGCTGAGCTGAAACACTGAAAACGTCTCCCTCAGAGAAAGGTAAAAACGCAACTAAAATGCAAAAAAAGATTTGTGTAGTGTATGGAGAAGGTACTGTGACTAATCAAATGTGTCAAAAGTGGTTTGCAAAGTTTCTTGGCACTATTGACATTTTGGCCACATAATTTTTTGCAGCGGGGTTATCTGATGCATTGGAAGATGTCTCCCTCAGAGACGTTTTCAGCACAGTGGAGCAGACCAGTGCAGGCTGGAGCAGACAGGCACAGACCAGAGCAGACCAATCCAATGCAAAGCCCACTGGCAAGAAGCAGAACTGTCTAGCCAGAAAGAGGCCTGGCCCCAGGGCTGCCTCACAGCTGTGCTGTTTTCACAACTGTGCTGTATCACAGTTGAACTGTTTTGTAGTGACTAGTTTTCTTTTTCAGTCCACCAGAGGTGTCCAACATTTTGGCATCTCTGGGCCGACTGGAAGAAGAAGAGTTGTCTTGGGCCACACACGTTAAATACATTGCGGCATGTAATCACACACACGCGTGTGCACACACACACATACGCAAAATCTCATAATATTTTAAGTAAATTTACGATTTTGTGTTGGGCTGCATTCATAGCCATCCTGGCACACATGCAGCTGGCGGGCTGCAGGTTGGACACCTTTGCTTATCCCAAATTGGGAATTCCTGTTGGTGTTGAATTGGTGCTGACCATGGTTTAACAAGAGTTAGTGCTATAGCATATTGGAAGGTGATAGATAAATTCTGTAGAGAAAAATAAAGCAGGCAAGAGGGACAGGAATGTCAGGGGTATGTGCACTTTTAAAGAGGATCTTGAAGGAGGTCGAGGGCACAGAAACATTTTGCATTGGTCCTACACCAGAGGTGTGTTTGATGTATTCCTGGAACTCCTAAGAGGCCATCATCCCTGGACTAGAGTGAATGGAAGAGGAGAAGGTGGTATGCATTCATACTGATATCTCTGACTAACTGGATATCTTGATTCAACAAGGCTTGCTTGCTGTTGGCTTGGAAGTGGAATGTGAGAAGAGTCAAGAATGACTCCAGGATTTTTACTTTAAGCAACTGTAAGGATGGGGTTGTCATTAATACAGTTGGGAAGACTGTAGTCAGAGAGGTTTCTGTGGAGAGTTCAGTTCTGTTCTACACTGCCTAAGTTTTTGAGATGTTTAATATACATGCTAATAGTCAAATCAGCCATTGAACAAGTGAATCTGGAGTTTGTAGGAGAATGGCCCAGGTTGATACATTTGGAAGCTTTCCATATAGAGGAGATCTCCTGAGAAGTAAGTGTAGATGAAGAAAAGGTTGAAGGAATGACCCCTGTAGCATTCCAGTCAGAGATATTAGGAAGAGCAATTCTGTAAGATGATAAGGATTGGGGTGTGGCTATAGAGTAAATTTCATAATTATCCTTAAACACTTATTCAGTACCTATTATTTGCAAGAAACCAAGCTGTTTTGGGAGTTAACATTGCTCCCTTTCTTTATAAGTTGCAAACTGAAAAAAAGCAGTGGAATGCAAATACTAAATAATGGTACAAATATACCAGAGAGCCTTGTTAGAGGACATGGATATAAGAAATGAATTCAGAATGTGCCAGCTACATATAAATACTGATGTAAGCATATGTCAGTCAAGAAACTTGTCAAGGTTTCTTTCATGCACACAGTAGTAATCTGTCTGTTGACCTTGGATTCTTAGGTTGTTTCGGATCTTGGTCCCCTGCCATTATGAGGTTGTGGTTTGGTAACTGTGCCTATGGTCTTTGTCTATCGGTTAAGCCACTGTGAACTAGTTCTGTTTCATTTGACATTTTAACTTTTGTTTCCTACCTTTCCACAATCAGTGGGACTCAAGACTGCTTAAAATAAAACGTTTCCATGTAAAATCAAGCAGAGGTAGCCTTATTTTTTGACTGCTTCTTTCATGAATGGTCTTAGACATTCACATTTATCTTTTGGTTATTAACTTGCTATCCAAAATGCCAAATAGAACTTTAAAAGTAATTTAAACATAAAACCTAGTAAACTGAAGTTTCAGTAAAATATTTTAATTTCAACTTTTGTGTTTTTTTTTTTGCACTAAAATGGATAGTCTTTCATTGGCAGCTGATAGAGGTGGTGTTGCAGGAGACAGTTTAGGAACTGTAAGAAAAATAGGGATTTATTTACTTTATAGGATGGAGGACAGAGAATCTCAGGATTCCATTCTCAGTTCTACCACTGAATGGTTGGCAAAGCTGTTGTCCATTTGTATGTACTGCTGTGTTGTATTTATTGTGAGACACTTGAACATATTAATATACTGAGTGAAAAAAGGCTCTGCCTTGAGTGCAAAGACTGTGTCTTATTAACACGTTCCCTAGTATGTAACAGATACTCAGGTGGTTGTGAGTGAAGGGATTATGTAAGACACTTGACCTTTAGAAAATAAAGCATGAAGAGTTATTTCGCTGTTTAAGAATACTTCTACTAAAGATATATAAATCTCTGTATAGTAGCACCCTCATTTTAGGCTAAACCAAACAAATAATGCTACTCTGTAATAACATGATCACTTTCAAATAGCTCATAATCCTATTCTCTAGTAGTCTGTAAGCAATTCTACTTGAGGAACCAAACTGCCTGAATTTGAATACTGGCTCAACTGCTTCCTAGCTGTGTGATCTAACTTTAGTTTCCTAACTGTCCTTCATTTTCCTCATTTGTAAAATGGAGATAATTGTACGTACATTATTAGTTTGAGATGAAATGAGAATATATAGTGTGTTTGACATACAATAAATATCAATTAATTTTAAGTATTATTTTAAAAATGCTGAGATTAATAGATTAAATGTTTCATTTTCTAGAAAATTGTGTCTGCTGAGTGGTAATTAATGGAAAAACAAAGTCCCCTATGTGAAGAAGGAAAAAAGACTGATAGGCAATATAGTGATGTGTGGGAAGTATCACGATGTGTTGGAAATATAAATAATAGTTTTTGTTGTCCATTTTTTTCCTTTTAATTTGGTTAGTAGATTTTTGTTACATGTTTAAGTATAAGCCAGGCACTGAGCTTCATGAGCATATTACTTTTTGAGAGTCAGAATTGCCTTGTGGTTAAGAGCATGGATTCTGGACCCAGACAGCCTTGGGACAGGTTCTCGCCTCTGCCGCTTACTAGCTGTGTGATCTTGGAAAAATTACTCTATACCTTAATGTTCTCATTTGTAAAATAAGGATGATGATACTTACCTCAGAGATTTTTAATGAGTTAATATTTGAAAAGTGCTTAAAATAATGTCTGGTAATTAGTAACTATAATGTGCTTGTTGAATAAATTAGATATTCAGCAGTAAATATAAAGAAATATTACATTTTGAAATTAATGAAAGATTTTAGCTTTTCAGTGTAGTTACAGGTTCATCCATATTAGGTAGACTCTTTTGCTAGCTTTTCCCTACATCTACCTCCCTAAGCTTCTTTGTTGGTGGAGGAACAGGGAAACTATGTGTTCTCATAAGTCCTTTTAAAAAAAGTTTATGAAACTTTCATTTTTTTAAAATTTATTTACTTTTTAAATACATTTGTCTCTGCCTTCCCCCACCACTTTCCCTTACCCCCTCCCACCTTCCCTCCCTCAGCTCTTCCCCTTTGGTTTTGTCCATGAGTCCTTGCTATATGTTCCCTGCACCCCCCCTTCCCTCTTGTCTCTGTTGATTTCTTTTCCTTTCAGTGTCGCTGGTCATATTTTCCTTGCATCTTTGCATTGTTGGTTAGGTTCCGCTTACAGGTGAGATCATATGGTATTTGTCTTTCGCCCCCTGGCTTATTTCGCTTAGCATGATGCTCTCCAGTTCCATCCATGCTGTCGCAAAGTTTAGTACTTCTTTTTTTCTTTCTGCTGCGTAGTATTCCATTGTGTATATGTACCATAATTTTTTGATCCAATCATCTACTAATGGGCATTTAGGTTGCTTCCAACACTTGGCTATTGTAAAGTGTGCTGCTAAGAACATTGGGGTGCATAGGTTCTTTTGTATTGGCGTTTTGGTGTTCTCAGGGTATAGTCCCAGCAGGGGAATCGCTGGATCAAAAGGCAGTTCCATTTTCAGCTTTCTGAGGAAATTCCACACTGCTTTCCATAGTGGCTGCACCAGTCTGCATTCCCACCAACAGTGTACTAGGGTTCCCTTTTCTCCACAGCCTCGCCAGCACCTGTTGTTTGTGGATCTGTTTATGATGGCCATTCTGACCGGTGTGAGGTGGTACCTCATGGTGGTTTTGATCTGCATTTCTCTGATGGCTAGTGATGCTGAGCATCCTTTCAAATGCCTCTGGGCCCTCTGTATCTCCTCCTTAGAAAAGCATCTGCCCAGGTCCTTTGCCCATTTTTTGATTGGATCGTTTGTCTTCTTGGAGTCAAGTCGAGTGAGTTCTTTGTATATCTTGGAGATCAAACCTCTATCTGATGTATCATTAGCAAATATATTTTCCCATAGGGCTGGCTCCATTTTCATTTTGCTGATGTTTTCTTTAGCCGTGCAGAAGCTTCTTATTTTGATGAGGTCCCACTTGTTTATTCTTTCCTTTATGTCCCTTGCTTTAGGAGACATATCAGTGAAAAAATTGCTGCGTGGGATATCTGAGAGTTTCCTGCCAATGTTCTCCTCTAGGACTTTGATGGTGTTGCGACTTATATTTAAGTCTTTTATCCATCTTGAGTTTATTTTTGTGTATGGTGTCAGCTGATGATCCAATTTCAATTTTTTGCATGTAGCCGTCCAGCTCTCCCAACACCATTTGTTGAAGAGGCTGTTATTGCTCCATTTTATGCTTCTGCCCCCTTTGTCGAATATTAGATGTCCATAGAGACCTGGGCTTGTTTCTGGGCTTTCTATTCTGTTCCACTGGTCTATGGGTCTGTTCTTGTGCCAGTACCAGATTGTTTTGAGTATGGTGGCTTTGTAGTAGAGTTTGATGTCCGGTATTGTGATCCCTCCTACTTTGTGTTTCTTTCTCAAAATTGCTGCGGCTATT